ATGCAGTGATGCTGATGATTGAGGCAAAGAATAAATGAAATTCTATGACTCATGTGTTACCCGAAAATAATATTTTAAACTTATCAAACCTACTATAAAAACAAAATTTTAAAATTTAATAATTTTATTTTATTTTTTTGTATATAATATGTTTTACAAAATTATAGTTAGTGTCATATGAGTGCTGCAGAGCAAAAACCTGTAACTGATCATAGTAAATCATTATTATCAGTTACAGGTTGCTCCACAGCACACATATGATAAAAAATAACATTTTTTATCGGAGTTAATATCACTTCCATGTGCTGCTACGCAGCACATGAGTGATATTAGCTCCGATTACTATGATTTTCGTATGCCCAATATTGATACGTATATTCCAGGCAAATGATGATGTCATTTCGTGAAAAAATATCAAGACAAAAAATTCACATAACCATATAAAACGAACAATAAGTTGTAATAATTAGTTTAACTAGTTCTTTTTTGTTAATACTTTTTCTAGATCAAAAGTTATTGCGTAGCGTTTCAAATTTTTATTAAATATTATGCACTATATAACTATTTTTTTTACAATATATAGTATACTGTATTAAAATTTTAATTTTAAAAAACTTTTTTTTTAAACTATTTTATCTACTCTACAGCCACAAAATGCAGTTTACCTTTACCATCTCATCAAAGACGTTATTTTCCCGGACGTATCACAGAATAGTTTTTTTACCCGTGTCTCGGATAATAAATTGTCCACTTTTAGTATTCATCATGAAGAATTTTTTCCTATTCGTGAACAAATTAAAATTTTCTAATGGTTAAGTCTTCGATACATCTTGCAATATCAACCATCTTTTACACAATATAACTTTAAAAAGAACTTAAAAAAAATTGGTTTACAATTACCTGAATGAGTGTAAATAATTTTTTCTTTCACCTTCTTTTGACGTTTCACATCATTATCTGTTTGATGAATACTCATAATTTCATCATGCTTTTGTTGCACTTGCTCCTGGGCGATTTGATCCCCTGGCGTGACCATGTGATGAGTTAATACTGGACCGGGTATAGCAACTCCCTCCTCACGTTGACGATGTTTTTGATCACGATTTAATTTATTATGATGTGGAAGACGTAAATACTTTAGAATTTTATGAGATATGAGTCTTAAATATTTCTTCTTATGATGCTGATCTGAAGAGGTTGTCAGCATTAAGTACTGTATATAATAACTCGTTTAAAGTTTCGTTTTACCTTGGTCGTGCCTTAAGTTTTCAGACATTTTCTTTTTTTTTTTTTTTTTTTAACGAAAGATTGCGATGTAAAATATTTTAGATTTTTTTTATATTGTCTGTTCTAGAGCTATTACTTTCTGTATTGCGCCAGATTTTATGACATTAATATCACGATCAGTGGCTTACAAATTCATTACAAGTAGCGAAAATTTTTTTAGATTCATTCTGATGTCGAATTCTCACATGTTTTAAACATTTACATACGTATATAAGTGTAATTTATTACTATATTCTTTGCGAAAAATGATTACATCATTTTTAGCATATAAAAAATATGTATTTGTTTTATACGAAAATTCACATACGTAGTAATGATACAATCCGGCAATCAAAACCTTTCATTCAGGTCATTTCATCTGTTAAAGTATAAATAGGAAGGGGTTTGCAATTTTTTTTTTTTCGAAACTTAACGCACAAACTTTCAAAAAAAATGCTTGTCGAAGGATCGCCATTAAATGATCGTGAGTATTCAACTGATGAAGGAGTCGTCAAGGATCCGCTTTACGAGGAAGTAGTGGAACATGGAAATGAAGAGTATAAACCACCACCCAAAGGTAATATAAAATTTTTTAATTTGTTGATTATTTAATTACAAATATATATAAATCTTTTTTTAATTAAACAAAAAATTAGAACCTTCAGATGAAGAGCCCGAAGTGACCGTGGATCCAGCAACAAAATCACCTCCTGGGTTACGTCCTTCGACGCATGCAGTACGTGAAGCCAAGGGCTTATATGAAGAGAACGAAAATGAATTTGAGAACGGTCCTTCTTTAACTGAAGGAGATGTTCCCGATAATGCTGATATTGATTCGTCAAGGCAACTGTAAGTTTTCAAAAAATTTTTTCAAGTGTGTTCGTCGAATTTTTTTTATTTCATTATTATTTTTTTTATTTCATTATTATTTTTTTTATTTTATTATTATTTTTTTATTTCATTATTATTATTTTTATTTCATTATTATTTTCTTCATTATTATCGGGGGGTTTTTTTTTCAAGATCATCTCTCGTGGCAGCATCTCACCGGCAGAGCAGTGGTGTCGAATCGAAAAGACAAAGTGCTGAAAAAGCTTCAAAGTTGCATGAAGAAATTACTGGAAATCCTTTAGAGATTGGTGAAAGTATGTTTTTTTTCGCGTGCTTGCACGTGTTGTAAATTCCGTTAATCTTTATTCATTAATCATATATATTTTGTCTTTTATTAATTCATCCGATTATTTTTAGAGGGAGAAGTTCTTACTGATACCAGAATTAGTAGGGGATAATTTGGGCATGTGAATATTAAAATACAGATTTAACTTTGAATTTCATTTATTGTTCATATTATGATTTCAAGATATTTTATATGAAATTTTTATGTCATTTGATTTCGCATTTTTTGAGAAAAATAAATAACAAATGAAGCATTGAATTTATTCTGAGTAAATAAATATTGTATTAATTCGATAAATAATATAGTTATCGTGAGTAAAGTCAAATAAAATTAAAAATTTAAAATATCTCGATTGTATCGTATGCACTTTTGGCAATAATAATATGTATTGACTTTAAAAAAGAAGCATTTATTGTTTATTATGTATTATAGAAAAATAAATGCTACATATTTGTTATTTTATTATGGGAATAATGTGAATTACTGTATCTTTATCTTTAATATGAATTATGCTTATAATAAGTGTCGATCGGAAAAATCATTTCGTGCCAATTCTAAGTTTAAAATCTATCTCGAACATATCTATATGTACAAATGGTATTTGTGTTCGAGTAATGATTAGGAAATGAGTAGAAAAAAATATGTATACAACAGAGTTGGCAATTTGCTTCAATGAATAAGCATCCATTGGCTTTTTTTGTTTCTTAAATAAGTATTAAAATTGCTAACCCTGATATATAGTGTGATGGTTGACTTTGGTTAAATTACGATAACATACGTCTTGTCGAACTTCTGATTTACTGACATAAGTTTTACTTGTGTTCCTTGTTCGACGTTGTTCCATGGAGTTGGGTTATTTTTTCTGATGAAATATAAAATGATTAATATAGTGTATAAAAGAATATAAAGAATGTGATGGATTTAAATAATTTAAATAATATAAATATAATATATACTTGTCCCACACAACATCAGGTCCTCTAGCAAGACGAGTAAGGTACCAACTACCACCTACGACTGCAAAACCCTATTATTAAATAAATTGTCAAATCAATAAATCAATATATAAATAAAATGTCAAAGCGTCTCAAATTATTATTAAAAAGTACATACGGTTACAACGTAGATAGGAAGAATTTCGAGTCGGTACCAATTTCTCATGAAACCTCTTGAAGCACTAGCGGCAACCATTTTTAAATATAGAAGATTTGATTAATATGAAGAGTTATAGAGAAAGTGATAGCTTGAATAAATGCCAAGAGGTTTAAAAAATATACAGGCTATTCGATGATTTGGGGTTCCACTTAAATAATTAATGACAAGTTATATATACATTATAATGTTCTACAAATCCGGATGAATCCGCCGCTTCACGCCTTTTTTTTTTGACATAATGAAAATTGACAGGTTGTTTTTGGTTATTAGAAATGAATGCAACCTGTTTGACACAAAGTTTGACACAAATAAGGACAAATAAAGGTAATAAAGGCTTCCATATGTTTACAATGAATAAAATCTATTGAAGCGAATAAGGAGATGATTAACATCTTGTCCCCGTTGATTACCAATCATTCATCATATTCTGCATGTATGCAACTATTCTCATCAGAATATACTACCCGAATTTTCGATTCGGAACAATCTTCATAGCTTTTCTTTCATGCTAATGCAGTGATGCTGATGATTGAGGCAAAGAATAAATGAAATTCTATGACTCATGTGTTACCCGAAAATAATATTTTATATACCATATAAAGTACTCCCCCTCTCCATCAATGAGATCGCTGGATTCGTGAATAGTACCCACTTATTTGTGCGGGTAATACAAACCTCTAAAAAGGAAATGGCCAATCAGCGAACACAAATTTCGGGTATTCCGGATCAGCCCGACATAGAATCCGAACGCGAAAATACTCAAAAACTAGTGTTTAAATCGACCTTGGTTGACTAATAAAAAATAACGGGGATGAAATTTTACATATAAAAAAACCCAACTTATCGCTAAAGCTCACAACCCTAACGTCTTAATCCTAAACTTCTATTTTTACGCACTTGGTTTATTTACAAAATTTGATTCCTTTATTGGTTTGTGTTACCCGCGCAAATAAGTAAACGGGTATCGTTACTCAAATATTTGTACTGTACTAAGGATTCAGAAATCAAATTTTTTTAACACCCAAGTTACCGTACGTTTAATAAAATTATATTTTCATTCCGCTCTTTACTCTTTACTCGATGAAAATAAATCTCGATATACTGTAACATACTTGATTGGCGATGATTATGATAATGATAACATTGTGCTTCATATTAATGATGGGCGAATACTTATTTATAAAATTTGAATTAACAGCAATCACTTACGGAAATTAATAACAAATATTATCGTTATAATAATTTATCTTATATTTGCGTCAGTGATAATCGATTCTTTTACATACTGTACGTATGATTATCTAGTAACTATGTAATTGGAATTAGAATTACATAAATTGTCGTTATGTATATCGTATCCTACATTTTAAATTTATTCACAAAAAATATACGTACAATAATATTAAGCATATATAGTAAGCAATATATAGTATCTAATCAATTTAGCCCATCACCATCTGTCAATTCTCCTTCAGAGCGATGCTCAGTTAGTCCAACAGAGAACCAGGTTCTGTCCGGTTCTGAACACATAGTAGTGTTTGTAAACTAGTCAATTCAACTAAGCCGAAAATTAAAAGCTGGCTTAGCTGGCTATGCAAAATCATTTACATGTAGTATATGTAAAAAAAAATATTTCGAACTTTTTCGTTACCTACTATTGTAAAGTTGTCTGATTTAGTAATATATACAATATTTATAAAAAGTTAAATAAAATTTTTAAAAAAATTTTGAATATTATTTTAGCTTTTTTTTATAGTTAGCTTATCTGATATAGAACAAACTTGTATATAGAACTCCTGTCTAAAATAAAAACAATAATAAAGTGATTGTTATAGCATCTCTAATTTATACAGCACTCAAAGCTAATTTGTAGTATACAAATATTGCTTTCCCAAATTTGAGTATAATATGGTATATGCAAATTATTACACTTTGTTTTTCTTTGGTTTATTTTTTTTATTTTTAATTTTTTTTTTAGAAAAGTATAATACTGTATATGGGGTCTTTGCTATAAATTTTTTTTTCCAAAAATCGATTTACTATGTTTTTCTTAATAAAATCTTGTGCAACAATGCTTCGGAGAGTCATTTTAATAGCAAAGATCCCATATAGTCCCAATTCTGAATCTAGATCTATCAAGTCGATCATATATTTTTTGGTTTTTATTTATTTAACTTCTTTTTTTTTAGATTTATATAAACTTGCTAAACATATTTTTTGGATAAGATTGTGGGGTTTTTTTGTTTCTATTTTGTTTACTAACTTTTTGTTTTTTTTTTTAGATTTGTATAGGCTTGTTAGATTGTGGAATTATAAACTTTGAGGCTTTATTCTTGGGTAAGACTACGTTGCTTTTTTTGTTTCTTTTGTTGTTATTAATTAAATTCTTTATTCTTTTCTTTTTAGATTTTTGTAAACTTGCTAAAATATGAAAGTAAAAGCTTTGGAACTTTGTTTTTAGGTAATATTATAATTTGTTTGTTTTTTTTGTTTTTTTTTATTGCTATTCACTAAACTTTTTGTTATTTTCTTTTTAAATCCTTGTAAACTTGCTGGAATGTGAAATCAAAAAATTTTTTCTTGAATAGAATTATATTTTTTCTTTTTTTTGTTATTTTTTTTATTGTTATTTGCTAATTTCTTTTTTTTTTAGATTTGTATAAATTTGTTAAAATATTGAATTAGAACTTTGAGTTTTTGGATAAGATTATATTTTTTATTTTTTGTTTTTTTTTTCTTTAGGCAATCTGGTTCACTTTATTTGAAGAAAAATTAAAATTTTTACATAGACATTGTAACTATTACAATTATAATATTTCAACAAAGATAAATTTTATACAGTTTTATATATGCAAATTTATAGCAAACTATTAACTGTTATGTTGTATTTATATGCAACCTGTCATAGCTATACTTGGTCTTCTTCAGAGATTCAAAATTTGCTTTAAATTTTTTTTTTCAGAATCAACAGTTAATGTGTAGCCTGCCTCATTAGAATTTTTGTCTTACAATAGAGTGTTGCCAAACTGATGATACTTTCTCATAGAGAAGAAAAAAAGAAAAAAAAAGAAAAAAATAAAAAAGGTGTATAAAAAAAACAAATATATATACAAAAATGGGTATTAATATAAAAGGAGACTAAAAACAAAAATAAAATCTAAAAGAAACTATTACTAGAAAGAAAAAAACCTGCTAATTTGGTAAAAACTTCTAACTATACAGAGTAACAAACTACTCATATTACATTGTTGTAAGAATTTTGACACAAAAAGAAAACAAATGCATTATAATTCATGCAAGAGGCTAAATTATATACAAATAATTACAGGATGTTTGTATATTTCATTACACTTTGTTTGACTCTTTTAGTTAAATCTATATCATCATTTTTGTTTTTTTTTGTTATTTCTCATTTGTTGTAATTTGTTAACTTCTTTATTCTTTTCTTTTTAAGTTTATATAACTTTGTAAAATATTAATTCAAAACTTTGAGATTTTATTTTCAAATAAGATTATATTATTTTTTTGTTTTTTTATTATTATTTACTAATTTTTTTTTCTTTTTTTTAGTTTTATATAGATTTTTTAAAACATTGAATCAAGATTTTAGGTTTTGTTTTTAAATAAAATTATATTTGCTTATTTTTTTTTGTTGTTTTTTATTCCTAATTTTTCCCCATATTTGGCATAATAACTAGCTGGATTTTTTTTCCTCCCAT